GCTTTTCCCGCCCTGGGCCGTCCGCCCTCTGCACACAGGCTCCAGCCCCTGCCCGCCGGCCTTCCTGCGCCCCTGGTGTGAGGAAGGGAGGGCACGCGCACCTGAAGCCAGACCACACCCTGAAAGTAGCAATATCTTTATTTACAAAATATACAGTTTCACAGAAACAGCTCGCTTTAACTTTATACACAGAACCATGTAAACGATGGCGAGTGGCTGGCTGAAGCCCGTGAGGGCCAACTCTGGGGTGACAGCCTCCCTCCCTCCCTAGAACCGGGAGCCCCCACACTCTGGGTCACGCCTGACTTGCATAAAGAAGCGGAAGGCAGCGGCCCACTTCAACCCACCCCAAAACCACGGTGCCCGGTGTGCCAGACACTCACAGGGACAGATCTGTGAAGAGGACAAAAGCAACTTGGGACAGAGATGAGATGATATCGGATGCGTTCCAGAGCACTAACATCACCGGGGTTGGCAGTTCCGCTCTAAAATTGTGGGCTCTTAAATGCACTTTTAAAATCTCGTGGAGCTTTAAAAAAGGAAGAAACACACTTTGCGACTTTGGTTTTCTTATGGTGCGGACTGGACAGGCATCCCGGGCAGACCTTTGGCAAACTCCCCAAACCTGCCCTGATGCTGGGCCCAGGCAGAGGCGGGCACTGTGTCTGAGCCAGCTTCTTTCTCCACAGCAGAACTCCCGCTCAGATCTTCACAGTGAACTGTTTCAGAAGCCATTTCTCTCTACTTTCACACTTGAATAGAACCAACAGAATCATTAAAAGCTAAGAGTTGACTGGACGAACGTGCAAGAAACCAGGACAAGAGGCAGGCCACAGCTCAGCCCATGGCACTGCAGGGGAAGTGGGAGAGAACACCGGGTGCCAGCGGTGGGCAGACCCCACACTGCTGCAAATAAGCAAACAACCAACTTTCCAAGCCGAGCCTCAAAGACAGGACACCAGCGCACACACCCATGACTATCAAACAGGCTTGAGAACCATTCAGCTGCTCAGGAGCATGCTGCACTGGGGAAGCTGGCCCTCCCTCCATGCCCCAGTCTGCTGGTGGGCAGGGCTGCAGCTGCCTGGGGGCAGCCTCCGGAGGGCCCCAGACACCCACTCACAGCAATTCACATCCAAAGCAGGACTGGAGTCCTAGCCCTGACTGCAAAGCAGCAGGCCAGCCCAAGAAGGGCCTCCTGCCCAGTTACTGAGGGACACCATCTGCACCCCAAGGACTGCCTAACTTCCTGTGCTGCCAGACAGGTGATGGGAAAGAGGAGAACCAAGCTCTCCCACTTTCCAAACAACTCTCCTGGGCCCCTGGGAGCTCAAATGCCAACTAGGGAAAGGGAACCAGCAAGAAATTGGCCAATACTTTTGGCTCTGTCGTGCAGAAAGACAGGTTTGTACATCGTGCAAAACCAGAAAATGAGTTATGAACATGGGCCACCTTGACCCCCAACCTAGCCCCTTTCCAGAGAGGAGTCCACTACTGTCCTTTTTAGCAAACAAGGAAACCAAAGAACCACCAGCTCACCCGCCACCCCCAACTCCGCAGCAGCTCCCGGGACCGAGAGGGGCCACAAAGGAAGGGGCGACTTGGACAGCTGAAGTACAGACACTTAGGTGAGACTGACACGCGGAATAAACAGAGGAAGAAACAAGACACATATGGCTGTTCGTCTGCAGGCTGGGGAGACCAGAGCAGCTCCACTCCCCAGCGCTGCGATAGCAGGAATAACAGCACTGGTTCCAAAGAAGGGGGGACTGCGAACGACAGTACAGCTTCACAGGGACCACACCCCTTGCTGTCAGCTGAGCCAAGCCCCTGCACTGCGTGTTTGTCTACTGGGGTCAGCAGGAACACAGCTCTGGCAGCGGCCGGGGCTGGCAAAGGCGTTCTGCTCGCTGGCTATGTACAGTTTCTACCTGGGACAGCCTGTCCTTGCTTAGGCACCTGAATGAGAGGATCTGCCCGCACCGAGCTAAGAGTTCTGTGCTCAACTAAAGGAGGGCCAGCATGCCGGCCTCTCCATCCCCTTGCCCGGAGTCTCCTGCCAGCTGTGGTCAGTCCAGGAACAGCTTGCGGGAGCCCATTCGGGAGCGGTTGGACCGGCGGATGTCAAACTTGGAGTCCCGGCACTTTTGGCAGACAAACACTTCGGGAACATTGGACTTCCGGATCTTCGCACAGGACAGGTGGATCCAGGTGTGGCACTCGTTACACTCTATCATGGGGCGGCCCGCAAACGGCTTCATGCAGAAGCAGGTGACTAGGTCCCAGGAATCGTCATCTACAAGGACAGGAGCATGTGAGAGGGGACGCCAGCACTCCGGGGACTGCAAAAGCAAAATGAGTAATGCTGTCACCTTCCATAGGACAACACAGCAGCCAAAGGGCCACCCAGCCCCCCCTGCACCTTTCCCTCCCCAAGGCAGGGCTGGGCACTGATCCCAGGACAGGACAATCAACCACCCCCCTCCCTGCAGGGACCCTAACCTGAGTCCACCATGATGTCCTCGTCGTTGCCAGTGCTGTCCTCGTCGCGGAACACCACCTGCTTCCCCTGCCGGACGATAGTCCGTTTGCCTTCAGTTTTTATCTCTTTGACCTGATCGGGTGACACGGTGGTGGCACAAGAGCCACTCGAAGGAGTGTCTGAGTCCCAGCCAGAGCAGGGCTCACCAGTGGCCTGGGGCAGTGCCTGCAGGGCGGGGCTGGCAGGGCTCTCGGAGAACGGGTCTGCAGCCTCCAGCTTCAGCAAGCCCCCTCGGTAGGCCTCCTTCACTGGCACATCGCTGTCCCTCCGCTTCCTCTTCTTCTTCTTCTTCAGCTTATCTGTCTTCTTTCTGTCCAGCAGGAAGTTGCTGGGCTTTGCCCGCTGTAGGAGGGTGGGCTGCAGATGGCTAAAGCAGCGGTCGGACACCGGCAGGGGCACAGAGGATGCCATGTCGGTGAAACTGGCATCCCAGCCATCACTGTCAATAGTGCCCGTGGTGCTGTTGGCAGGGCTGGGGCTGCTCCTCAGAGGGAGCTCCTAAAAGGACCAGCAGGGGGCAGGTTCTGGTTACTCTGACCAGGCCATGACAAGAATCAGCCCCAGCAGAGCTTCCCCGGCCCAGCTCACGCCACCAGGACTGGGACTGAAGGCCACACAGGAGCGGAGGAGCCCTCAGCACTGGCCAGCACTCTGGAGACTAAGGCAGGAGGATTGCTGTAAATTCAAGGCCAGCCTGGGCTACACTACAAGACCTTGTCTCAAACCACAAAAGTAGTATCTTATTTTTCCCTCACTGTAGTTTTTCCCCTTTCCTCTGTCCTCCCTAAAGATATATTTTGTGTGTGTTTTTAGAGACAGGGTCTCACTATGTAGTTCAGGCTCATCTTGAACTCTCTATGTAGCCCAGGCTAGCCTCAAACTCACCACAATCCTCCTGCCTCGGCCTCCTGAGTGCCAAGATTACAGGCATGCACCACAATGCCTGACCCAAAGGTAGGGGTGGGAGTTGTGAGTGTGAGTGTGTGTGTGTCTGTGTATAAATATATATATATATATATATGTATGTTTTTGAGTTAACTGAATTTAAATTGAAAATGTCCTAAAATAAAAACCTGAAGCCAGGGATTTGGCTCACAGGTTCTGCTGCCTGCGTCGAAAGCACAAGGTCCTGGGTTCGATCCCCGGTATAAAAAACAAAACAAAACCTGGAGACATCCCAAAATATTGCAAAATCAAAGTAGGTGATTATTACCCCAAAGCATCAAGCTAAACTGTGGGTCTTTGGGTTAATCTAGCCTGTTATTTGCGAACAGCAGCAACATTCTACATGGCACAAAGCATGCATTATCTACTTATATGGCAAGTGGAAAGAATAAACCATGCCAGGATTTTGCTTCCTAAAAGCATTGGATTCTATTTGTAGCTTAGAACCCCACAGCAGCTCTGACCATAGTCCTAACCATTTCTAAGGAAGATAAAGAAAAATCTCTCCACTCACATTGGGGCATGGAGCACAAATCCCTGAAGACACAGTGATGGGGTGCTCTCAACCATCAGGGTTCCCCAGTCCCTGACAAGGTAGCTCTCAGATGTCCTCAGATCTCTGCATCTTTAAATTGGGATTAAAAACTAGCAGCTGTGGGCACAGCACTCAGGAGGCTGAGGCAGGAGGATCACTCTAAGTTTGAGGCCAGGGTAGACTAAAAAGAATTCAAAACCAGCCTGAACTGCACAGCAAGACCCTATCTCAGGGCTGGGAATGTAGCTACCTCAGTGCCACTGCACACGACTGGCAAGAGCAAGGTCCCGAATTTAAAAAAAAAAAAAAAAAAAAAACCATCTCAAAAAAAAAAAAAAAAAAAATAAAAAAAAAAAAAAAAAAAAAGACCATCTCAAAAAAACAAAGAGAAAAATTTAAAAAAGCAAAACAACAACAAAAAAAACACATAGGAGCTACTTTCCACATAGGAGCTACTTCCCATACCTGTGAAGTCCAAGAACAGTGCCAGCCACAGCACACATCCATTGCTGGCAGCAGGTGGACACCAAACATGTTATTTGCAAATAAATTCTGAAAGTGTGCTACATTATCCTAGGCAACCCTGCACTTTCCACCAGAGCAAGGGCTGCCCTTAATTCCCCAGCACCAGATCCCTGCCAGACTGTGGCCCCAGGTCCTCACCCTAATTACCTCCTTCGGGTACGGGATGTAGCCGGCATAAGCCAAGACGAAGGTGCAGAACTTGTTGAAGTCCTCGACGGTCCTGCGCTTCTTGTAGCTGGGGGAGTACTCCTGTGAGGGAGAAGGGTCAGTGTGAAGGGGAGGCTCCTGCCTGGGACAAAGAACAGCACAGCAGCAGGAGCTGAGCTTTTGCCTTCTGACACTCAAAGCCCAGACTTCTGGATTTGCAGCCTGGAAACACAATAACCAAAGTTCAAGTCGAAAAATAACAGTTTTTGCAAAGTTGCAAGAGGAGTATTAGGGTTTCCTGCCAAGAACACTGGGAAACTGGCGAGGAGATAAAGGGTGCACCAACGCCTACCTCTTGGAACACAGGCTTTTTCTGACCTTGTCCACCGATCCCGGAACGCAAATCACAACTCTCATAACTACGTTTTTTGCCAGGATTTCCACTTGGAAGCTATAGTATTTCAAGTGACTTTAAAAATCACTTACGGGTCCTAGCTCTCCAGGCCTAACTGGTGCCCATCTGGGCCGGTGAGAACCCAGTCTGCCCGCTCAAGTGGGCCCCCCACTCCCGAAAGCTGGGGTGCCAGGCCCTGGCTGGGCATCTCAGATGCTTGCCGGGGTTCCCAATCGGAAGCGGGAGTGGGAGCGGGAGCGGGAGCGGGGTCACACGCCAAGCAGAGGGCTCTTCTCCCGGAGGAGGCGCCTCCGCCACGGCCCGCTCCTTCCCCAGCACCTTATCTCCGCCCCTCCCTCGCCGGGTGCTCCCCGGTCTGCGCAGGGCTCGGGCCGGCCAGACTGAGAGGGACGCCGGTCTCTCGGCGGCCCTCAGCGTAGGAGGGGGAAGAGCAGCGGGGCGCAGACAGAGCCTCCAGATTTTGCTCCGAAAACGCCACGTTTCTCTCAAACTCTCAACTCGCTCCGGGCGGGCCACCTTTCCCCTGCGCGGACACAAGGGCCGCACCCTGGCCTCAACTCGGGGACAACTAACTTCGTGGGGACCGCGCACAACTGGTCGGCACCCGGGAGAGTGGGGAGCGTCCCGGGGAGGCCAGTGTCCGCAGCCCC